AACGTTGACACCCCGTCACCAAGGCCAACGGACCTTCACCGGCGGTTGTATGGGCCTCTAAGCACAATGACAACCCTCTTAATGACGATTGATGTTCTGGAGTACTTTGAAGGGAATGCGAAAACTCCCACCCCCCTCTACTTCTACAGATTTATCCCGTTCCTCAACGAATACCAGAACATGGCGCGATCAAATGTTATGCGGTTAGGTTAAGCAACCAATAAATTCATCAGACCAGCAAACTGGGAACAAGAAAGCATTTCAAGACCCAACCAGCATCATACAAAATTCCTGCAATGAACAAACGAATACGGATATGATGAGATACGCATACCGATATGATGAGATGGAAAACTGAAGCATCACAGGCCAGCTCAAACCCCACATGAAATTAGCCAACACAAGCCGTATAAATCAAAAGGACTTGTCAATAAAAGAAAACATCATTATCACAATCCCCTCATCTTACTTACTTTTTTCCCCTAATCCTAGACTATCGAACAACTTGTCAAGTCCCAATCCACCAAGAAGGCCATTCAACAAACCACCCAGCCCGAGACCACCGAGCAGGTTTCCGACCAAACCCAGAACACCGCTCAGCAGCAAGCCCACGGCGGCAATGATTTGAAAGAGTGGCTCAGAGAGGAGGGCCCAGAGCGGATTCAGCTTTTTCTTGGCGTGAGGCATGTCAGCTATGCGTTTGTGGCCGTTATCGATCGTCTTGGTCACTGTCTCGGCCAGCTCCTTGAGTAGGTCGGCGAGCTGGTACTCCTCCGGGGTAGCATCACGCGAGGAGGCGCGCGCCTTGGCGGTGGCCGCGATGCGGCCATCGGGGTCGAGGGCGCGGATGGAGCCGTTGCATTCTTGGAGGATGCGGCCGCCTTCTTCCAGAAGGGGTTTGACGGCTTGGACGAGCTTCTCTTCGTCGAGCTCCTCCTTGGGTGTGCGCTCGGCCTTTTCGATTTGCTGTAGAAATGTTATTACTAGGAAATGGAAAACTGAAATATAAGGGAAGGAACTTGAACTCGCCTCAGTGATCTGTTGGCAAACAGGCTTGACTCGGTCGAGGGTCTGGCTGAGGATGTAGATCATCTTCTCAGCTATCTGGCGGTCTTGCTCGGCCTTAGCCTGAGCCTCTAACTCTTCCGAGGTGAGACCCTCTTCTTCAGGCTCAGGCTCCGGAATATTCTCCAGTAAGGTACACTCGCCAATGTTGTTGTCATCGTTGTCAACGACATAGCCGTTGTCGTTGACGGTCTTGCCAACCAGCGTTGCCAGGTTACCGGAAGTCAGCTTGCCAATAAGGTTGCCATCGGGATCGCGCACCTCACCCTCCTTGGTGATCTTTCGGCCAGACATAGGGCTGACATCGCGCTGCTTCTCTTCCGGCTCCCAGCGTTCGGCCTTACCGATGGTATTTCCATTCTTATCAACGACATCGCCATCCTCATCGACCTTACGGCCGAAAAGATACTTCGCATCGCCTTCGATGAGGCGGCCGATGATCCGGCCTGCGTCCACAACCACGCCGTCCTTGCCGACCTCGGCTTTGTCAAAGCCGTAGAACTGTCCCTCCTTCTCTTCCTGCTCCGCGCCGGGTATCAGCCCCGCCCGGCCAACCACCTTGCCGTTGTCACCCCAGATTTGACCCTGGCCGTCGACCTTACAGCCAGCGAGGCGTTTGTCGCCTTCAATGACCCGCCCAAAGACAGCACCCGTGGCTGGGTCCACGATATTGCCCTGCTTGTTCACAACTTTGTCCTTAAGAATGGACAGGTCTTCTTCGGCGGGGTTTTCTTCCTCGGGCGGCTCGTAAGGCTCACCACGGCCCTTGACATTGCCATATTTGTCTGTTATCTCGCCATCTTCGTCGACCGCGTGGCCACGCAATTTTTTGGCATCCCCTTCGATGAGTTGACCTACGATAGAGCCGTTCTCGTCCTCGATAAACCCGTCCTTAGTAACGACCAGGCTCTCGAAGCCGGCGAACGGGCCATCGGGAATACCTTCGCGCTCGTCCTCAGGAATAAGCTCGGCGCGACCGACTATATTTTTGCCTTCGTAAATCTCGCCGCTCTCGAATATCTTTTTTCCCGTCAGCTCCTTAGGGTTGCCCTCAATAATACGACCGATCGGAAAGCCCTCCGGCCCGATCACATACCCGGCCTTGTTGCAGCTCAGCCCATCCATACTGGAAAGGTCAATAGGCTCTACCTCCGGCGCTTCAGGTTCCTCCCAGCGTTCCACACGCGCGATGACGTTGCCATATCGGTCGAGTACTTCACCGTCCTTGTCCACTGCTCGGTTGACCAGCTTCTTCGCGTCGCCTTCAATGAGCCGCCCGACCCTTGTCTGGTTCTCGTCTTCGACCCATCCGTCCTGGCCTACGACCAGGCCATCTAGGCCCGCAAATGGCCCTCCCTCTTCATCATCATAGACGGGTATTGGCTGGGCCTTGCCGATCACATTGCCGCGGTTATCCCAAAACTGGCCCATGGCGTCAAGTTCGGCGCCAAGCTTCGAGAGCTTCTTAGGATCACCTTCAATTATTTCTCCAACAGGCTTGCCGGTAGCTTCATCCATGATGTAGCCGCGCTTATTGCACTTCAAACCCTCGAGAGACTCGATCGACGGGATCATTTTATTATTCTCCTTGGTGGCGTCGTGAACAGTCTCTTCGGCGCTCTTCTGTTGCTGTTGCTGCTGCTCCTCCACGGGGATCAGCTCCGTGCGGCCTATGGCGTCGCCTTCATCATCGACGATCTCTCCCTCATCATTGACAGTATATCCGACGAGATCCTCCGGATCTCCCTCGACGATCTTGCCCACCGCCAGGCCAGAAGAATTCTTAATCATGCCACTCTCGGAGACAGGCAGCCCATCAAGTTCCCCCAGGGTGGTTACCACGTCCTTGGCCTGGTCCAGCTTCGACTGTTCCTCCCCGGGAAACTCCATAGTTTGATCAACCGTCTCATCCAATATATCAACGCGGCCGATCAAATCGCCATGCTCGTTGAAAATCTCGCCATTGTCCCCGACAGTCTGGCCAACCAAGTCCTCCGAGTCTCCCTCCACCACCTTCCCCATTGGGTTGCCGTTCTGATCGCAGATTTGGCCACCCTTGGCGACCTGGAGACCCTTAAGCGTAGAAAAATCAGGCGACACGGTGCTTGAGTGAGTGTTCTCGCCCTTCCGCGCTACGTTCTTCGCTTGACCCGATTGGCTCCGAACCTTATCGGACCGCTCGGACGCGGCGCGCCCGAGTGGGGCCGCGGAGCCAGAAGCTTGAGAGACATCGTCCTCGGGTGGGGAGATAGGACGGCGCTGCTCGGGTGCACCAGGCGACTTCTTTGTAGACTTTGGGGACGGGGTTGCAGGCACGGCTGTTTCTTCCCTGTCATCCGAGACGGGCTCGGATTGTTTGGTTTGGAGCTTGCGCGGACCGGTTTTTTTCTTGGAACTGAGGCTCATTTCGACCCGACGTGAGGGGGGGATTTGCTTTTCACCGTTTATATTTTGGGTGTACTCAGTATTTATTTTCCACAAAAATAGGCAGATGAGAATTGAGCTTTTGGGATATTTGGTAGTAAAGAATTCCAAGTGGTTATTTTGGCATTGATATTTATGATGTGGTGCTGTGATAAATCTTTTTTGCAATAGAAAGGTCCATTGTCTTGCATCATAGTGACACCAAACAATTGTCACCGTATGCTGTCCATGTTCCATGACAAGCGTCAACGGTCTAATGTAGCCAAAATCTACTTTATCACGGCCTGGTTTGGATCCAACACGCCGAACCAAGCAGGCTATCCGGCCCATTGAAGTCGAGACTTTGTATAACCAAGGGCTCTATATTTCGTTTTGAATTGAACGTCTTGGAATTAATACAATGACGAATTTGGTGAATATTCTAGCCAAACTTAAGCAAACTAGCGGCATGTCATCGACCTGCAGAGCCCCAGTGACGTCGGCGGCAACGCCAACCAATCTGACACTACCATCACTCCCCGGTGCAGCCATTCATTGGGAGTTTGCTCTTCGTTCACCTAAATCCTCAAATGAAATTTGAAAGGGCAGAAAAATCTTAATATTGCGTGACCGGGTCGTTTCGATTACAGAATGTATGGTCATGGTCGCCAACTCTCCGTAGCCTTCGGCCTACAGACTGGCTCCCTAGCGATGGGCAGACATATTTCAGTACTGTGCTGCTTCCGGAGGAATAGAATATCTACCCCCCGAGCCCTCGAAAAATAGTATGAGTAAAATAATGCACCCAGAAGCTCCCCAAGGTTCTGATGGAACAGCATCCCATCTTTGAAGACAGCTGGTAAATGCTATACATTACACGAAGCCTTGAATGAACGCGACCCAAAGAATGACTTCACACAGCATTGATTTGCCTTCAGTTTCAGCAGGCCATGGTTGCCTTATCATCCTTGCTCTTTTGACCGAAGCCGTAACTCGCTGTTCTGCCGCGTTATCGCTATTTAGGGTTCCAGAAGATATCTATCGGCTTGCAACTGGAACAGCAAAATGCTTTTGCTCAAGTTCCATGTTTAGATTGGCATTCTACCCTTGGCAAAGATCAGTTCGCGTCACGTTTTCAAAGGCGTTGTGCTTGGAAAATGCAGAAGCAGGCTTACAAGACAAATCTATCTGAGTGGGCTCTCGGTGTGCAAATACTTATTCTTTTGTCAAGGTTAAGGTCGAAAAAGGGCAAGTCTTTGCAACAAGTATATTCCATGTACTGCCAAAACCAGATCATATAGAATCATCAGATTATTGTCCAAACTTTTCCATCAGCCGTCCTCGCTACAGTATCTCGTCTGACAAGTGGTACCAAACACACATCCATCGACATGCACTCAACACAGAACCGGATCTCCCAGTTGAACCCTATGACTAGGCCACTTTGAACATCGGACGGTCGAGCGTTTCTCTTCCCTTTTGTCCACAGATATGTCTGCCTATTGCAATATACTTTTTTATCTGCCCCTCAACTAATCTAAAATGAAATATTCCAACCCCTGTTCATGGATCAGCGCCTTGTCGACCCCCAATTCCTCCAGCAGCGTCGCAATGTTCTCTAGCACAATCGTTTCGTGTCGCACAATGTACCTCTTTCCCTTGAATTGGTAGCTGTGTCGGGCCCCGTGTTCAAACAAACATCGTACCAATGGTACATATCCCCGCTGATGGGCCATATGCAAAGGTGCAATTCTTTTTGCAACGGTATTTGGGTTGGCACCCCATTTCAAAAGTAGCATTGCGATGTCTATCTCTCCATTTTCGATGGCTCGCTGCAGTGGAGTCTGTGAGATCTCAAGGCCACCATTTCCATTGGGATCCACACCGTGTTCCAGCAATAATTGAACCATTTTCAATCTTATCCAGGAGGGACAGTCGTGAAGTGCGATGAATAGCGGTGTTTTATGCCACGGAGAGGGCCATTTCGCGAGAGAAGACCCTTCGCGACGTAGAAGCCACCGCAACACATCTAACATCCCGCTCCTGATGGCCTCATTAAAACAATAAAACCAAAGCCACTGCACCTCCAGTCTCGATTTATCCAGGTATTTCTCCAACACTTCAACCATCTCCACTTTGCCTATTCGCAAAACTCATTGCACGGCCCTATACAATTCCGTGGAGATGTCACACCCAGCTTCGTGTAGCAGCGTAATCCACGCCTCTAGCCGGTCCTGATCCCCACACCTTGCAGCTACAGCTAACCCACACGAGTTATCGTGAGACCACCAAAAGCAACTCTGGTAATATGAAGGACAATGAGCCTTTACCAGCGTCCGGATGATCTCTCGCGTGCCCTCTTTATATGCCAGATCCACCGGCACCATACCAAGACTACGACTCCAACCCCCAACCCAAACATCTTGATCAAGTAACGCCTGCAGCTCCACATGATCCCCCCGGAGGATTGCGCTAGAGGCAAGCCCCATGGTAAGCGTCTTTTCTGAGGACTCGATCCGCCTACCGGAGTCGTCAGTGATATGACCAACATGTGCTCGATAGCGATGGGGGCTAAATAAAGTCTTGGGATCCTCGCGACTCCGCATCACAGCGTCGATCATTTTCTCAATGAGGATATGCTGGTTTTCATCGCTCATTAGTGAGACATGTGGTAGATCCAGGATGTCTCGAATCAACTCTGAGAAGAAACACGGTCGTTCCTTATGTTCTTCTATCAATTGCCAGATATATTTCCGCCTATAAGGAAACGTAGGCCACAACGTGTAAAGAGCTGTCTTATTTTCTAAATAGGCGCTCGGTGGCCACAGGGCTTCATTGAAGAAGCCTAAACAAAATTAGTATGCATGTCCTGTTGCAGTACATGAATCAAACAGAAGCCTACTATTGACGAGTCTAAACTGCAGAATGTCTCGATAGGACAGGACATCGACCGCTTCTTGTAGGATGAGCTGGATAATCTCGAGAGGGACTCGCATTGTTAAAGCAAAGTAGCTTATATCGCTATAATCCGGAGCAAGTTGTTTGTTCACCGATGTCAAAGATAATCTTAACCAAATGTGGGCGCAGAACAAAGAGTGGCAGAGAGAGGGGGAGGAAAAGCAACGAAGACGGGTCTTCTATGTTGGCGACATTGAAGGGAGGTTACGTGAAGGCGTATTGGGGCGCTAAACCGAAAATGGCAAAACTAACCAGATATAGTAATTCACAGGTCCGCCGTTTACACGTCAAATATGCACAGTGTGGTTGCCTTTCTGACCCACCAGCTCCAGAATCCTCCTCATCCGCATTGCAGTTGATGTAGCTATTTGGCACAGCGGTGAGAAGTTAGGAGCCTGCTTTTCAGTCTACCTATTACCCAACGAGAACTATTGGAAACCAGTCACGAAGTATGCACGATCTTGCATATGCATGCATGATTCTTCAACCCCGCACTCTAGTCGAACCTTAGAGGCTAGGAAATAATGATATGGATATAGACAATGGTGGAAAGAATCTGATGGCTTATTGCTTAATCTAACGGATTAAGCTCAATATCACCAACGTATTTATGAGATTATAGGGATATGAGCGCAATAGACAGTAGACTTTTTCTAGTATTTGAGTCTTTGTTTTTAGGAAACGGAGTATTGAGATCTACATTGAGTGTCGTAAGAGGATCAACATCATGCAGACTTGTGGCTAGCTGAGAAGCGAACAGTGGGCTGCGGTGTGTGTGTAACTTGCCTTTCCATTTCCTTTCGCCAAATGTGTAGATCTACTCCTGCTAAAAAAAACTTGTAAATATACACATACAAGATCCCATAAAGAGCTTTGTGGAGCAAATTGACCAGTACTCCGCCATCGGATATCCAAGCTACTTAAACTATCACCCCCGCCAGAATTTTCCCTGGTATTCGACAGATTTCTTCCATAAAGTCAAGCATTCCAAATAAGTGTCGATGGATAACAGCCTCAACTTAGCCACGATGATGGGTGACAGCATTGCGACTCCGGAGAACGCCACCAACGCGGAGGGAGCCACCAAGTCAGAGAAGAAAGGTAGTAAACTATTGACAAACTACACCACCTTAGCCCTTCTCTGATAACGGTTCGGCTGACATATAAAATAGCTCATCTGACCATCCTACAGTATGACAAGCTGTCAAAGACTTCTACTCCTAAATCAACCGTCCCTCTCCCGGCCGAGTACAAAACTTCGGCTTTGCAGCATCTACGATGGTACCTGATTAAAAATGGTCACCTACCAAAGGAGTAGTATGTCCACACCAAGTTGCGGATCAAACTATCTACGCACTTAACTAAATCCGTCTAGTGTTAACAATGCCTTTTGCAAAGACAACGGCGCTGTTGTTACCGACGACACCACGTTTGATATTTACACAAAGATGAACGGTGATTCGGGTGGCGAGAAAGAAGGCTTAGTGTGTTGTTCATATGACTCTTACTCGGGTGCTCTTGCTCATACAGCTTAGGAGGAGTTCAGTCTATACTACAAGATAGTGAAGACTATGTCAGGTATGGACGAGACAACAAAGGAGTTTCTGGCCCAAAAGTTGGATCTCAGCCTGGTATGGATCACAATGCCCAAGATATTACGCCAGTTAGACTGAGACCCGAATAGAGAGATCCGATGCCATTCTTGAACTCAAACCTCACGAAGTTGGAGTCGAAGTTTAAGTCGGACGACTGGAAGGCCGCTACGAGTTCAGCCTCATATACGTAAGTTTCCAATATGGTCATTGTCGCGAGAGAATTGGCCTAACTCAGTTTAGTCACGTGGCGGATATGGATGAGCGACAATGGGGTGTCGTGATGCGAAATAACGACTTGCTCAGTGGCAAGTTCTTTGCAGGAGGAAATACCAATGACAAACTAGCGGTACCCACAAGTATTAGTCGAGCTCGACACACTGGTATGTCACATCAGGACACTATGGCGTCACACCGAGATGGAAGGGTTACAGCCAAGCTAATTAAAAAAACCCTTGATTAATTAGCGTTTGCCCTTAAGGAAAGGGAAATTCCCGAGTATAACGTCACTTTCCAGGTGTCGGCAAAACTCCCACAAGGACTCGACAAACCCGAGGTGAGCATATTCATAACGATACACTCATTAATCAATCACTGGTCTCCAGCTAACCATCTCTAGGTCAAGTTTCGCATTCCCCGCTATCAGATCTGTGACCGCTCGAAAGTTGAGGTTTTCGAAACACAAAGTTCAGTTTCTGCCTCAATGGCAGAGAATGCATTCAGCCAGACGACAGTGGAAGCATCTGCGTGAGTACAAGAACCTACCACTTATATTTCATTATATACAGCACTAACTTAGGTCCAGAGGGGGCGGCTTTGTTGGTGTGAGCGTGGGGGTGAAGGCCGGTGCTACCACGAGTGACTCGAGTAGTTATGCCCATTCATCAGTCAGAGATGAAAGCCTCATGCATATATCTTACATGGTAAATCTCTGTCGAAGAAAGATTATGATTGGCACAAAAACTAATTTTGCCCTCAAGTTTCCCCGAACCGACATTTTCCTGGAAGCCGAAGACCTCGAATTGACAGAGGAGTGTAAGACTGAGTTGGATAAACTGAAGGAAAATACAAGGACTAAAGAAGATGCCGACAATTTCTTCCGCAAGTTCGGTTCGTTGTCGTTGCATCGCTTTTTACTCCGCTGTAAACCCCGATTCACTAACCGACATTAAATCCCAGGTCATGTCTTTGTCCCTCATGTCCAGCTTGGTGGTCGACTTTACTCGGTTGAAAAAAGTGACAACATTGCTGGGGCCACTAGTAAAGAGAAGGCATCTGCGCTGAAGGCAGCCGCAAGTGCTTCCATATCTGGTTATGGATTCCAAGCCCAGGTCAGTGCCAGTCACGAAGAAACCAAAAATTCGAAGTCGGAATCAGCAAGCAGTAAGTCAACGCACTCGATTACATGGCATGCGGATGGTGGAGACACGCTGCTTTGCAACAAGTGAGTTTTCATCATACTGTCACAGCCAATTGGAAACCCACTAACCAACAAATTTTCCACAGCCCTCCTGCCTGGTGTCCCACGGTCCAATCATACTACAATTGGAGAGTGATGAATGTCAGTAAAATGTATTCCATTGCCACACCGCGAAGCAGACTCTAATGCTCAACAGCAAATCGGGATGATCGACATTGTTGAACTGATTGGTAGAATGAAGGACTACACGGACGCTCCCAAATGGTTTAAATGGGTCTACTATGCGGACGTCCAATTCAAGATCTGCCTGTGGGACTCCACGGGATCCAACCCGAAACCATATTTGTTAATGGATAAAAATGGTAGTGGCAGAGCTCTATCGCCCTGACGGATGCAGAAATTGAAGCTTACAAATTGCAGAACATCTCATAGAGTCTTCGGAGGGTGCCGGTGGGAATTACACCCGTCGCACCCACAGACATGCACTCAGAAAGTCCACGTCGGGTAAGGAGCACATCAAAGATGCTACCATTGAAATTAGTGCACTGAAGCATCTGTTGATATGGGAGGGTGAAAAAGGCCAAACAGCCCGCGTAAGCAGCAAATAATCTTCATTATGTGGTATGGGGAGATGATCGCTTACATCTGACTAGTTCAAGTACGGTGTTCATTACCCATTGCGATTTTTCGAGCGGGACTCCAAAAACCCCGATAACTCGAAATTTTGGGGCGTTCGGCGCACCACCGAAGAGGAGCTCTACCAAAAAGCAAATTTCCTCTATGCAGGACTTAACGAAGAGTCGAATGTCTTGGTGGTGTTCCGGAACGTGGAGGACAGCGATGCTGCAGAGCGGGCCGATCAAATCTACGACCATGCTATAGTCCGAATGGACTTCTATGACTCCCACACGAGACATGACTATGGGTGGTTACAGAACGATCCGCAGCTCGCCCAGATACAGGGGCACAAGAGTACCTACATCGAGCAGGAGCGGAAGTTCAAATTTCGCTATATTTGATTTGAAGTTTCCCCACCATTGTTCATGCAAAATCTTCATCAACTGAAGATCGGGGTGACTATGCATTCAAACGCAGGATACTTCATCAACTGAAGATGCCAGCTCTCGGGTAGTTTAATAGAATAATTTGTTGTCTGATATTTTTGAACTGCACTGATGTCGAAGTGGAAAGACATTTAAATCTAGAATTACTCATTGGATGCAATATCCATGGATTTACCTTATACAATGCAATTCTCCGTAGTACTCCAATAAGTGGAATAAGAATGTGGTTAGCGGCAGGGCCCACATTCCGGGGAGATAATGCGCTGATCCGTCGGAAGCAACCGAATCTAATCGATCATGACCGTGGTCTCCACCCATCATTTATTAGGCAATGGGTCTGAACGCTAGCAAGGTCTTTGACTACGCGAGATTCATGAAGAGATTTACAGTTTTCTTGGCGCTTCGTTCGTCCATGAATTTTCTTGCCACTTGGCGGATAATAGAATCCCAAACGACAGACTAGGATGTTGGCATGAACTATGGTATTTTTCTGGTCCACCCACAGATCGAAACTCAATTGAGCGGGCTATCCGCGGGTCATAAGATTTGGAATACTCTACCAAGAGTACGACGGCCAATCTATGCATCTCAAATTGATCCACCATTGGGACGTGAGGATCCAGTGGGCCAGCTAGCGGGTAGTCGCTAAAATGATCGCCAAGCGCTCAAACTCCCCGAAAAACCTTAATAGCATGTCTTATCGTATCAGTTTGCGACTATCAGCGGGGAGGCCAGGGAATTCATCTCGTTACAACGAATTTATAGTGACCTTTTTTGTACTGTTCCGCAGCCCTACGGTTATATACAGCTTCAAGTCAGAGTCTGTTCCGGTGAGATATGGTTGGTCGCGAAGCACAATGCGATGGTGATACCTCAGCTGACAAGGGCTGACAACAGGCTCTGAAATATATTCTTCAACCTCATCATATTTTGATCCAGATCACTGCTGCGACCGAAGGGTTCGCCTAGTTGCATTATCCTCTGTAGTATTGTTCTCCCCCTCTTTGGCCATCATCTCCATCGCTGTCTCCACAACCGCCAACCGACTGCGGATGTCCTTCAGGTCACTGCCAATAGTTGCAATCCAGCTGTTTTGATTATCCAATGACTTTTGCATGGACTTAGAAAAAATCAGCATTTGCTCTTTCTCTGGTGGGTCGCACGACAGACTTGGTTCGGACATCTAGTCTTAATGTTGTAAGCAAACGTACCACAAAATATTACTTCAGGAGGATTATGGCACTCACTCTGCGACACATTGGAAGGCGACCATGTTGCAGTCTCCAGAGAGATTAGCCTGTCGGGGTAGTTCCAGTTCCTCTTCAGGTCTGGGGTCCATACTCCGGTTTTGTTGAGAATCTTCCTGGCCTCCATCCGCTGAGTTGCCGTTGCGGTGGTTGCAAAATAAGTCGTTCTCCTGAAAATAGGTCTCTTCATCTGTGGTATTGGTATCTCCCGCCGCAGACATTGACGGACTCCGGATGTCCTCAGACTCGGAGGATGACAGTGATAGCGCGCGTTGCAATCGGCTCCGAAAGCTTTGTCGTTGATCAAGTTTTCGAATTCCACCCATAATTGTGAGCCACGCTGGGATAACGAGTGTCCCCAATTCTGGTCCAATATCAAAGGAGACGTCGCACAGCCTTTTATAGAGAGCTGGTTCGCCAAACCAGAGCTTGCGATCGGGATTTGCGAGGTCCATTATCTTCCATCCATACTTTCCGCACTTGTCGCTCAATTTGGAATACATTTTGACCAATCAGTGACGAAAGACATTCAACTCTAGGGTAAAGAACTTCGGAAGACAAAGTATTTGCCACCAAAGTCTGTTTGATGTTACATTATTCAATAGCCGGTGGGACTCGGTCTGAGAATTCATTGCTGTTTCCTTTCAACGTACAGTAATTAGACGAGTAAGGTTGGGCTGGTAAGACGGCTATATAAAGACCCATGGCACCGGGATGAGTGTCCTCGTAACAAGATCAGGAAACGGTAACAAGGAGGCTGCCTGGAAATTTCTGAAGTGTCTGGATTCTTATCAACCTAGGAAATATGCCTGGTTGGATTTACAGAGGTCTGATTGTGTTTGATTGGAAAGGTGGGTCGAAAGTAGAGTGATACGTAGTGTAGAGGCTGAGGCCTACGATTTGATTTCGATCCACACCCTAGTCATGTTTGACGAGAAGCAAAGTTTTTCCGAGTCAGCCCAAGACTAGCAGCTTCGATTCAAGTTATAGGAGAAAGTTAGCTTCACAGAGACCATGGAATCATGAGCGGGACCACCGATCAGTAGCGGAAACCCCAAATCATTTCGATAACTGAGTTTCGAGGAACCATGGAAACGCTCGCTCGGTGAGATATTGCGGTTGTTATAAATGATCTTCATGGAAAGCTTAATTACAAGCTTTTGCTCCATTGACTTTTTGGAATGGCGTTGGTTAAACCTGTTGACAGAAATCTGTCGGTACGACAACGTATGGTCAAAAACAGATATATTGGAATCTCTAACTAACTAAAATGACAAAACCCGCGTTTTCAACAATCTGTGCGGACATAGATGACTAACTGTAATATGCACTTTTGTATGGTATGGCTGGTACCATGTGTCACATGATATTCAGGGTAAGATACCCTGTTTCCACCATGTATTCAATCTTAGTATTCGACACCTGTGCCTAAAATTTCAAGAGCATTGAAGGAAAATATTGAGGCACACTGACCACGATAAAGACCTATTCAAATATCAGTATTGTGAAGGACCAGAATCGTGTTAGAAATTGTAAATTTCTCTATCGCTGGAGCCATAGTAAAGATGCGCTGGGTGCTTGAAGATAGACTTTTCGGGACCGCAGATGGACCGGCCCACAATGCCAGCTTCTGTCATTTTTGTGAGCCAATCGGTTTCTCGGCTTTCAGTGCAAAAGGCGGGGGCCCGGTTACGTAAGCCATTGTGTCGAAGATTAGCATAGATTTTCATACGCTGTATACTAGGTCAGACTGGCGATAGAATTGGAGCAGATAGGGAGAGGAAGTGTCAAGTTCGGAAGAGTTTACTCATTAGGGGGAGGTTCTTGCAGAAGATACATAGCTTCTAGAACGCTCTAGACCAGATAGAGAAAGCAGCAGCTTCCCACTCGACGGAGGACCTATCAGGCTCTTGCGAGGGCAACTAGTAGAACACGACCACGGATCAGATCTCTGTTGCCAAAACTCTGTGTGATATTCCAAATACCTCACCTGCCCAACCGTACCTCCTAAGCAACACAGACCTGTTCCCTCCGTAATCTGACGGCCCGTCAAGTCTAGGCTTGCACATCGAGTCTGGTCCTTTGCAAATCCTTCCAATTTCTTCTCCGGGCCCCAAATAGAACCTCCTTAATCTACTGTCCCGTGGGTCGTCGCTGGGATCTGCATCGCAGAACCGTACCTGCGTCTGTCTAAATTCGCGCATCGTGTTTGATTAGTCCGTCGGGCGCTATTTGTATCCAGGGTCTCATCAGTGTGATAGTAGCGTTGCAATCTTGCGAGGGGGTGGCGATCACGAGAACCTAGCTCGTGAGCCTTGGTTGCAACAGTGCACATGGCTGTCCTGGAAACTAAGCTCGGTTTCCCATGGAAGGCTTTCCAATAAGGTCTGGACTTTGATTATGCCCTCCCAAAGAAAGTCAATCCTCATCCTGAGTTGAGAGTATGTCAGTGTCTGTGCGGCTAGGGAGTAGAGGTTCTAGTAAAGGCAACATTAGCTGGCTGCGAGTAGACAGCAAAGAAACAACATTCAGCGGCGCGGGGCCAAGGATGAACAGGATGGATTCTAGCGAGACCAAAGGGTCCTCCAGCCAACTGCAGGTACAGCTTAGCGTTTTTGTCGGCCACAAAGTCTCTAACCCTTTAGTTCGGCATCTGTTGAAGCACTTCAACCCTCATGAAAGAGACGGTGACCGTGGCTAGAACGGGCAGATGTAGAGTGCCACCGCGTTGAGCGATTTAATTGCAAATTCAATGATATGTAGGGATCATATTTTTACGGCGTTACTGTCTGTTCAACAGTTGATGAAAGTGGTTCACCACACTCAACGCAGGGTTTTGAAAGCAATGAATCCAGGACGAAACTTGAGTCTGCAGGCCACAAAGTCTCCAAACACCATTTCAACGTCGTTTAACCGCTTCAACGCCTATCAACGAGACAGTGGTTCTCGCCTACCATCTGCGCAACTGGTTCCTTGGTAGAAACGTAGCCGAAAAATATAAAAGGAGCCGGATTTCCAGCCCAAAAAAATCAGGACTTCGGTCCTCACACTTTGATGCATCATAGTGTCCCTCTTTTGCCTGCGGGCTTGAGAGCTTCCGTAACCACGGCTGACGCTGCCACGAGCCCAGCGAAGTAAGACTTGCGCTCCCTCACAGCCAATGAGCCCTGTGTATGTAAAAATGTGCTTCGCGGGATGGGCTCCGCGTCAAAAAGTGTGCTTCGCAGGATAGGCTCTGCGTCAACAAGTGTGCTTCGCAGGATGGGCTCTGCGTTATCAAGTGTGCTTCGCGGGATGGGCTCCGCGTCAACAAGTGTGCTTCGCAGGATAGGTCTGCGTCAACAATTTTCCTTGCAGGGGGGTGCTGCGAAACCAAGGACTTCAGAGCTTCCGTGACCACGGCTGTCGCTGCTCCGAGCCCAGCGATGTAAGACATGTGCTCCCTCGCTGCCCTGAGCCCCGCGAGTGTAAAAGGTGCTTCGCAGGACGAGCTCTGCGTCAACAAATGTGCTTCGTAGGGGATTGCTGCGTTAACAAGGCCTCTAGCGATGTGCAGGCACCTCTTCGCGGTGCTAGGGACCAGTATTCGAGTATTCAAGAGTACTCGAAGAAGCAAAGATCTGCGCAACATCTTGATGATGTATTTCGTATTTCGAATGATCATCATTGGAGAAATAAAATGAGCCCTAGATAGATGCAAACCAATCA